CACAGGGGCTGTGAACTGAGTCTGAATAGGCTAACCCTAACCTTAAAAATAAACTCAAATATAGACTAAAATGGTGATGCGCCTAACCTTAACCCTATCGTTGCAAACACCTGTTTATACACCTATCGTCACGACCACAGGGGGTCGTGTTGGAGACAACGAGGCGCTTACGCTGCTCCTAATAGGGGGTGAACTCACAGGGTGTGTTTAAACGCCTATTGTCATGATAGATGATATAGGTTAATGGAAATATCAGATATAGCAGTTAAGAGAGTAGACATACTGTATGTATATCTGATATAGAAATATCCGATATAGCTGCTGAGAGAGTAGACATACTGTAGTGTATGTATATCTGATATAGAAATGTTTGTATCAGATATCAGTATATATCACTATATCTGATATAGAAGTGTAAGTATCAGATATCAGTAAATATCAGTATATCTTTTATAGAAATGTATGTATCAGATATCAGTAAATATCAGTATATCTGATATAGAAATGTATGTATCAGATATCAGTATATCTGATATAGAAATGTATGCATCAGATATCAGTAAACATCAGTATGTCTGATATAGAAATGTATGTATGTATCAGATATCAGTAAATATCAGTATATCTGATATAGAAATGTATGTATCAGATATAACTAAATATCAGTGTATGTATCAGATATCAGTTAAATTTTATATTCAATAGACATATCACTTTATATCAGTTACATGAAAGATATTGCAAAGCATGTATCAGTAAAAGTGTTATATCATTAAAAATCAGTGCTATAATGTTGATATTAATTGCTACAACCAGCTACATCAGACTAATATCAATATCAATAAGTAGCATAATTATGATGTAATCTGCTATAGCCAATAATAGTGATATATTTCGATATTTGATTGCTTTACTAATGCTAGTATAAGTTTTTTGAGCTATAGCTAATGAATAGCTATACCCCTGCTTTTATTGATATTATGTTGATATGACCAATATTGCGCCTGTGTGGAGAAAGTAGGCTTACGAATCATAATGGACTATAAAACATCCCGTATACGATTTTTTTCCGTACGAAACATTTGCATGAAACTCCATTCGGGCTGTCTCGACTGAAACATCTCAATTCTGGACTCTGGAGGTCAAAAGGTTATCAACCAAAGATAAACGGCTGCAAAACTTCTGCTCGCTGTCTGATTTTGAAAAACACATCGATGTTACCATGCTAATATAATAGGTCGTTTAAAACGATATAGGGCCTATGTAATATTTGATGTCACTGCACGAATAATAAAAAGTGTTACCGGTATTTGAGTTGCATACTGTGAACATTTTTATATTTGAGTTGGCCGCGGTTTTGGATAATTATGTACGTCAACTCGGCCCCAAGTTATATCGGCCCCAGTCAACTAGTTTTATATCAATTTACGTACTATAAACTTCTGGTAATATATAATTTATCTTGCCTCTTCAAATGATAAAAACAAAGTGAATGCCGCCAACACACGTAATGATTTCATTGCTGTTAAGTATAGCTATAGTACAAGAAAAATACATCTTAGGGTTGAAAAAATTGCAACAGAATTTCTGTTTGCACAGTGCATTTTCTTAAGGTCTCTGTATGAACATACTAAAATTCTAGAAAAATCCAAATAGGGGGAAGTGCTTTTTTTCAAAATTGCTGCCAAAAATGGCTAGTTTGAACCAAAAATTGAAAAAAACTTGGATCTTTTCAACATATTTTAATATAGTTTTTTTTTTCTAAAATATATTTACAAAACCTAAAATTGTTCTGATGCATACAGGTACGCTTATTTGATGTGGATATCATGAATTTCAAGATAAATACGACGACATATTTAGTGGTGTATGCATAATACACCAGGCAGCATATAGTGCCATGGACATTTTGGGCAAAAGCACCAACTTTTTACATGCTCCTTATAGTCATAGCATCAATTTTTAATAGAAACTTTTGTCGGAGGTCATTATGGCAGCCATCTTAGATTTAAAAATGGCCACCTTATAAAACCTATGTTCTTCATGGTATTATCTCCTCTTCTAACTTGGAATTATAATTCTAGTGTCTACATGGTTAAGGAATACTAGCATGCCATCTTTGACCTGGTAAGATTGTTCATTTAAGGTAATTATAATTTAAGTCATTAAATAAATAATCTGAGCAGATTGTTCATTTAAGGTAATTAATTTAAGGTCATTCAAGGTCATTCCAGGTCAAAAATTGTATGACATCTTAATAAATACCTGTCATGTTTTACATCTGAATCATACTAAAGCTCTCGAAATTTATATTTTTACAAGAAACTATATTAATTTATTCAAGGTAATTTTGGCAGCCATGCAAAAACTATTTTATTAATATCTTAGCTTTTAGAATCACTTTAAATTAGAATTGTGATGTTTATGTTTTCATGGTCAAGAAAATATACCATTTGTGACATAGTCAAATGATCATTAGGATAATATATAGGTCAGTTAAGGTCAAGGTAAATCGAACACTGTATTTACATTACTTTGATGATTTATATATAATTTAACAGTGTTAACGGCTATCTTGATTTATATTGTATGCAACTATTTGTTTCTAGCCGTACCTATTGTGTAATGGAGTGTATCTGGTGGTATTTGAACGTGTTCAACCATGAAGCCTCCGTGGTATAATGGTTATGATGCTCGCCTTGACAGCGAGAGGTCGCAGGTTCGAGTCCCGCCAGAGGCATTTTATTACACAATTTCTTTATTCGTTTATTTACAGGACTACATTCGTTGTGAGCTATGCTACACGATGTAGGCCTATTATCATGTCCTTTATTCGAACACTGTATTTACATTACTTTGATGATTTATATATAGTTTAACAGTGTTAACGGCTATCTTGATTTATATATTTATATATATCATAACCATAT